CAGCGCACGCGGCCTTGGCAGGCCCTTTGGCCGAGCCAGCGGCCGACCGCCCGGCCAGAACAGGCCGGCGGTTCGGCCAGACTGGTTCAGACCGGTTGGACTGGTTCAGGCTAAATTTTCATGTTTTAAGTCCCGGTTCATGTTCAAATCTCATTTTCAGTTAAAATTCCGGGTCCAATTCAGTTCAGTAGATTTATATCAGTTCAGTTCCGTATTTAACCGGTTCCAGTTATACCGATTAAATCCAAATATCATGTCAAGTCCAGTAGAGCATCTTAACATATTAAACAACTATTTTTATCAATCTGAGCATAATACTTAGTAATTGTTTATATTATATTTCAATTTGATCAGACATCAGATATCAGCACTGCCTTTCATTTTCAAAGGATCAGGTGGGGACTCAGACTGGGTATTACATTGATTATAATTACGCTACCATGTTTGAGGTATGTATTATCAGTATCCGCTCGGAATGGTCGCCGGTCCATTCTGGGTTCTAGTGGCCTTAATCTGCCCACTAGAGTGTGCACATGGCGTCCGACATTTTTATGCTGGCAGATGTTCAGTTATCAGTCAGGTGATGTTTATCACGAGATCAATATCAGATTGTTCATTACCGGTATCAGTTATCAGTTTCAGTTTCAGTTCAGTATCAGTTCAGTATCAGTTCAGTTATATATGCCAGGATCATGATATTGTTATTATTTTCACTGTTTACTTTAGTATGAGTTTCTGCGGAGCACAGTGGATTAGTGCTCACGCCCCCACATTTTTCATGTTTTTCAGGTCACAGAGTCGGAGCCGAGTAGTGAGCAGGCGATCGGTTCAGGACATTTGTAAATATGTGTATAATTATGTTTTGGCTACACTATGATTCCGCTACTATTTCAGTTTAGCAAACCAGCTTTTGATCCGACGTTAGTCGGTTAATATATTATATAACTGTTTTATTATTAAACTAAATAATGGTTTTAAGATAAATTCAGATTTCACGGTGACACTCTGAATCAGTATTTCGCAAAATAAATATTTTATTTAGAAAATTGTGCGAAAAGCGCGCTCTGAATTTCATGAAATAGCGGGGTGTTACAATTGGTATCAGAGCACGTTTCTGCGTCTCTGAAAGTTTTACAAGTCAAAAATTTTTCAAAAACCTGGACCGTCACGCTCACGCCTCGCCGACTACAGGTGAGTGCTGATTTATGTTTTTAAGTTATAAACAAATCACTTTGTCTAGGCTCAGAAAATTATTAATCATGACTTAGTTAAGATGCTCGAATCAGGTTCAAAACTTATAATCATTGTACTCAGATATAACTCTAGATTTCCTCAGGATTAATGTCAGTATTTTCCAGCCATGTTTGGCAACTCGTCAAGAGATCTGTGTACTTTAGTAAGAAGTTAAAGTATTTTTCATGTGTTCAATAATGTTGAACTTTTTCAATGATCAGATGCCGCCCCGTAGGGAACCCGATCGCCCGATTATTCCCCAGGCCACCATAGTCGCACAGTTCCGCGACTATCATCCTGAGAAATTCTCCGGTCAGGGAGATCCCCGTATTGTGGACGAGTGGATTCAGGGCCTTGAATTGATTTTCGAGGTCATGGATTATCCAGATCGCTATCGCGTCATATGCGCACAGCTTCAGCTAACCGGTGATGCCCGACTCTGGTGGAATGCCTACTGGAGCATGCGTCCTGGAGAGAAAGAGGGTTGTACCTGGGAGAGGCTCAAGGAGCTAATCCGCGAGAAGTACTATCCCACATACTACCGAGTCGAGATGGAGCGTCAGTTTCTGTTGCTTAAGCAAGGTACTCGTTTTGTTGATGAGTACGAGAGGGAGTTTACTAGACTTGCAGCTTTTGTTCCGGACTTGGTGCGTACGGAGGCACAGAGAGCACAGCGCTTCATTGACGGGCTTTACCCAGCAGTCCGTCACAACATTGTAGGTCACGGGACTCAGACCTATGCTCGTGCTGTTTCGATTGCCCAGGAGGTGGACGCCAACATCCGGAAGGAGACAAGACGCGATCGTTCTCAACCATCCGCCCCTGCCCAGTCATCTACAGCTCCACCAGCTCCACCAGCTGCCCAACCGTCGAAGGAGAAGAAGAGGAAGGGGAAGGGTGCCCAGACCGAAAGGAGGACCCGCCAGAGGCAACAACAGGGTCCACCGTGCCCCACTTGCGGACGACTTCACCGCGGAGAGTGTCTCTTTGGCCACGATATATGTTACTACTGTCACGAGCCTGGACACTTTGCTAACCGTTGTCCGAAGAAGGCACAGCAGCCTCCGCAGCCACAGCAGCGACAGCAGCCCCGTCAGCAGGCTCAGAGGCCGCTCCAGCAGCAGCAGCAGAGGGGCAGACAGCAGGCCCGAGTCTATGCAGTTGATGAGGCCGAGGCAGAGCAGCAGCCAGGTACCATGTCAGGGATGCCTATACTTAATGATGTTCCTGTTTTCGCCTTGTTCGATACTGGAGCAACACACTCTTTTATTTCACGACGATGTCTTGATGCCATCGGAGTACATGCTGTTACCGCTGTCGATCCTCTCGAGGTGAGTTTAGCCTCAGGACGAAAGATAGTTACCACAGCTAAAGCTTCAGATCTCAGCCTTTCCATTGGTGGTTGTATATTGTCTACCGACGCTTATGTTCTTGAGATGAGGGATTTTGACCTCATTCTCGGTATGGATTGGCTATCCTATTATCATGCAGACATTCGATGCCATGACCGAGAGATTACTCTTTATCTTCCGGGAGACGATTTGATTACCTTCTTCGGCACCAAGAATCATTCTTTACCTTATGTCGTTTCGATGGCGACAGCCACCAAGATGCTGCGATGGGGCAACTGTCAGGGTTATCTCGTGAGCCTTGTCGGTGATTCTCAGAAAGCACGATCACCTCACGACGTTCCCGTGGTTCGTGAGTTTGTGGACGTGTTTCCAGATGAACTTCCAGGAGGACCGCCTAACCGGCAGGTTGAGTTCTCTATTGATCTTATTCCAGGAGCCAGCCCAGTATCTAAAGCCCCGTATCGAATGGCGCCGAAGGAATTGCAGGAGCTTAAGGCGCAAATTCATGAGTTATTACGACTCGGTTTCATCCGGCCGAGCGTGACACCTTAGGGAACACCCGTTCTCTTTGTCAAGAAGAAGGACGGTTCCATGCGCATGTGTATTGACTACAGGGATCTTAACCGGTTGACGATCAAGAACAAATATCCGCTTCCCAGGATTGACGATTTATTTGATCAGTTGAGGGGAGCCTGTGTTTTCTCTAAGATTGATTTACGATCAAGCTACCACCAGCTGAAAATCAAGGAGTCAGATATTGCTAAGACCGCTTTCCGTACTCGTTACGGCCATTACGAGTTCGTCGTCATGCCATTTGGCCTCAGTAATACTCCAGCGGTTTTCATGGACCTGATTAACCGTGTTTTCCATCCCTACCTCGATCATTTCGTTATTTTTTTCATTGACGATATTCTTATCTACTCTAAGAGCCAGAAGGAGCACGAGGAGCATCTGAGGGTTGTTCTTGAAACCCTCAGACGAGAAAAGTTATATGCAAAATTCTCCAAATGCGAATTCTGGCTCCAGAGAGTAGCCTTTCTTGGCCTTGTCATTACTCAGGCAGGTATCGAGGTAGATCCTTCTAAGGTTTCAGCTGTTCATAACTGGTCGACACCGAAGAGTCCATCCGAGGTTTGCAGTTTTCTCGGTCTAGCTGGAGATTATAGCAAGTTCATAGAGGGCTTTTCCAATATTGCTCTCCCTATATCCCAGCTAATGAGGAAGTCTATGAAGTTCGAGTGGACTGATTGATGTGAGTCGAGCTTCCTAGAGATCAAGAAGAGATTAACTTCAGCACCGGTGTTGACTATTCCCGATCCTTCCCGAAGTTTCACCATTTTCAGTGATGCTTCGAGATAGGGTTTGGGATGTGTACTCATGCAGGATGGCCAGGTCGTTGCTTACGCGTCGTGACAGCTCAAGCCACACGAACAGAACTATCTGACGCACGACTTGGAGTTAGCTGCAGTTGTTCATGCTCTTAAGATTTGGCGACATTATCTGTACGGCGTTCGATACGAGATTTTCACAGATCATAAGAGCTTGCAATACATTTTCACTCAGAAGGAGCTCAACATGAGACAGCGCCGTTGGCTGGAGCTCGTCAAAGATTACGATTGCATGATTCAGTACCATCGGGGAAAGGCAAACGTCGTTGCGGACGCCCTAAGCTGTAAGGTGAAGGGTGACTTGACGTACGTCGTTACTCAGCAGAGCCGTTTGATTCAAGTGTTCGCCCGGATGCAGATTCAGATAGTCGATGCACTTCCCACAGCCATCACAGGGAGTTTCAGCTCCATGCAGATTCAGCCGACGCTGAGAGAGAGAATCCGGTGGGAGCAGGCTTCTGACAAGTTCGTTCGTGTCATGGATGCCAAAGTCCACGCCGGAGGCGTCGAGGGTTTTCAGTGAGGTAACGATTGTGCCTTAGAGTTTCGTGGCAGGATTGTAGTGCCAAAAGTCAAGGCGTTGCGGAAGGATATATTGACAGAGGCTCATACTGCACCCTATCTAGCCCATCCCGGAAGCACGAAGATGTATCATGACCTGAAAGGGCCGTTTTGGTGGCGAGGGATGAAGAAAGACGTAGCCGACTGTGTGAGGAGATGTTTTACCTGTCAGCAAGTCAAAGCCGAACATAAGAGTCCGATAGGCCTCCTGCAACCACTACCGATTCCGAAGTGGTAGTGGGAGGAAGTCACGATGGATTTTGTCACGGGGTTACCGAGGTCGTCTGAACATCATGATGTTATTTGGGTCGTGGTCGACATATTGACTAAGGTCGCTCATTTCTTACCAGTCTCGATGAAGATGTCTTTGGATAAGTTTGCTGAGATTTATACCCGTGGGATCATTCGACTCCACGGAGTGCCTGTTACTATCGTGTCAGACAGAGATCTCAGATTTGTCAGTAGATTCTGGCAGAGTTTACACGAGGCGATGGGTACGAAGCTAGAGTTTAGTTCAGCCTACCATCTGGAGACTGATGGTCAATCCGAGCGGACCATTCAAACATTAGAGGATATGTTACGAGCTTTGGTTGTTCACAGGGGTGCTAAGTGGGAGTCATTGTTGCCCTACGTTGAGTTCGCGTACAACAACAGTTATCATTCTTCTATTCAGATGGCTCCTTACGAGGCACTTTACGGTCGTAAATGTCGTTCCCCTCTTTATTGGGACGATGTCGGCGAGCGTCGAGTACTCGGTCGGAAGATGATCGAGAAAACCGCAGATCAGGTCAAGTTGATCCGGAAGAGACTCAAGACAGCTCAGAGTCGACAGAAATCCTCAGCCGATCAACTCGACGAGATATTCAGTTCGAGGTTGGCAAGCTAGCTTTTCTCAGAGTTCATCCATTTCGCGGGGTTGTTCGATTCGGGAAGAGAGGGAAGTTGTACCCTCGATTCATTGGCCCGTTCGAAGTTCTCAAGCGAGTGGGCGAAGTTGCGTACGATTAGCCTTACCTCCCGAGTTATCCAGTGTTCATAATGTTTTTCACGCATCTATGTTGCGTAAGTACGTGTGCGACCCCGATCATGTCATTCCCCATACAGATATTCAGATTCAGCCAGACTTATCTTACGAGGAGCGACCGGTAGCTGTACTGGACCGTCAGGTTCGTCGGCTCCGGAAGCAGAATGTCCCCCTCGTTCGTATTCATTGGGATCGCCACGGAGCCACATGGGAGCAGGAGGCTGATATTCGCGCTCGTTTTCCCGATTTTCAGTTCCGATGTATATATTTTCTTATGTTTCATGTATATTCAATATCGTTTTGTATTTTCGAGGATGGAAATTTTTAAGGAGGGAGGATTGTAATATCCCGTCATGTTAGTAATATAAATCATGTGTTTAGTTCCGATATAATAATATTGTTGATTATATGTTTCAGAATTAATTATTTCAGTCAAGATTACCCGAAATTATTTTCGAAGTTACGTTTACGTTCGGAATAGTTTTGGTGTTAATTATTTAGATTAGTCATATAATTAAGCATATTAAATTATGCTTAATTAAGGAGATAATCATGTTTAAAAGCAATAAATGTCGTGAGCATTTTTTTTTATAAGTCATGTAGAATTTCATTATATTTTTTTCCATAAAGCCGTGAGCATTTTTAGTGGCATTTAAGGGAGATTTGTCTCCAATTTTTGTAGCATGAGGTGGCTCATTTTCCTTCACTAAGTGATGACTAATCTCTTCACTTCATGACTAAGCCTCCATTAATTACAAGTGCCACAAGTTTATGAAGCCACCAAGCTTTCCACCTCCCCATCTTTCGGCTATCATATATTTAGTAAGTGTTAGAGAGATTGCAGCCATTTTTGTGTTCTTAAGCAAGTACTCAATAGTGTGAGTTTCCCTTAGTGAGAGTTTTCCTTGTGTTTGGAGAAAGTACCGCACGCGGAGAGTTTAGTCGCAAGTAACGCACGGTAGAAGCCATAGCCGCACGCACGGAGGGCATCATCCGAGCTACCGCGAGAGTTGGTGTAACTTAGCCGAGTGTTCGAAGAGGTAACC